TTGCCAGTGCATGTTTTTCTCTTATTCCTTCTTTTTTGCCCATTCCAGGTCAAGTCTCACCTCTTCTTTTTGGTGCTGTTTCCATGGCTCTGAGCTTTGCCACGTTGCTTTGCTCTCCTTTTGGAGCTGGCTGGAGAGAACAGGGTGCTTGTCCTGGCCTGAACCCGGATGGATATGCTGAATGGCATTTCTGCCTCCCCTTGTTGTTTTAAGCCAATCTTGTCCTCAGCGCAGCAGTGGTCTCTGCAGCACAAGCTGGGCCTCTGGTGGGCTGTGATGGCTCACATGTCTCCAAAGGCAGTTTGGCCACATGCCTACATCCTTCAGAGCATCAGCCTCACTGGATCACTAATCTATTTGCCCATGAAGCTGTAAAATTTACATAATTGCTCCCCTAGGGCCTGTGGTTCACATTGTCCTGTTCTCTGCTGCCTTTCCCATGGCATCCACCACCTCAGGAGAGCACGAGCAGCTCTGGACAGGGCCGAGGCAGAGACATTAACTGTGACTGCAGCGCTTGTGAAAATAGCATCTGTTGTTCTCAGAAGAAGAAAAATCCCTTCACCCAGATGTCCTGGCCCTGTGTTTGAATAGCAACATCATTAGATGTACAAAGAGAGACACAAATTACTCCGCAGGTTCGTTGTCAAAAGAAGAATGGTCTAAAGCACTCTTGGGGGTGAAAGCTGGCACTGAGACAGAAGCAGCAGTGTTGTACCTTGTGAGAGAAACCAGGCTAGGAGAAAGGAGAATTTCCTCTTCCTTTTGAATGCCACTTTAGTAGATTGTCTGTGTCCTTTGGTCCCTAAGGCACAGCAAAATAGAGGCTTAGTTGAAGGGCTGACATTTGGCATAGAATGAGAAACTAATCTATTAACATTGCTTAGGCATGGCTGTAGCTAAGCATTGCCTCTGCTGTAAATCTGTCAGTCATCTCTTGTTGTAGCGAGAATGGGCTAGATCAGACTCACAGCTGACATCCAGAGACATGGTTTGTATTTTATGGTGCAGAAGTGCCCAGGGAGGTGGCTGGATTCCAGTCAGACTGCTCTGAAAACTCTTGCCAGCCTCCCTGCGCATCCTCTGTTGTGTGAAGGATCAGAGAGACCGTGACTTCTCACCCTCGCTGCCCTGTTATGTCGTTGGGTTTGCAGCTCCCTGCTGGTTTCTCTACTATAGTTTGTCTAACAGCATCGTTGGTTCACTCCTCACAGGCCTTTGTCCTGTGCAGGATCGGTCTTCCCTCTCAAACTGAAGCATATTTACCTTGTCTGGCACGCAGCTCTGGAGCTGGGACATGTTTTCCTAGCCTCGTACAGGTGTTTAAAGCCTTTTCCTTGTATCTCTGCTGCCTGCAGGATAGTTTGTACAGTGCTGCTGAGCACTTTGCCTTGTGGCAAATGTGGTTTGGATGTAATCTTTGTTTGTAAGTTCTTCTTATTTTATTACATAGCTAGTAAGTACATTTTTAGAGTGCATGGGCTTTACTGGGACAAAGGATGCTTGCCTGGGTCCTCAGTTGGGGGGAAACCCTGCGTTTGTACCATCCTGCTGTTTTTTTTAAGCACAGATAGACAAACCTCTCTCTGTGATTCAGGAACTGCAGACTGAAATCTCATGCTGGAGACAACATTTTAATGCTGGATGGGATACATCTAGCCCTGTGCATCAGTTTCTCAAGTAGAGATGGTATGAAAGACTGGAAACTCATGGAGGAATTTCAGGAAAGCTAGTTCCTAAAATCCCCAGCTTCTTAGCCTCTGGGTGCATGTGGCTGAGGTCTCAGTGTCTGAAATGCCCCAGGGATCCCTGTGTGTCGGGCATCTACATGTGCTGCGACTGTGACCTTCCTCCTACATGTGGCTGAATGCTGAAGCCTTGGATGGTTGCTCAGACGTGCTCTGGCAGCAGCAGCTGCCTCCTTTTGTATGGGACAAAGCACTTTGCAAGGTAAGGAGGTGTCGGGGCATTGGGAGGAGATGGGAAAAGCCGAGCTGATAACAGGATCAGGATATATGGGATGGTCTTGGAGAGACCTGCTGATCCCATGGGCAAGAAGGACATTGCTGAGCTGTTTTCTTTTTGTTTTGTTTTTCTTTTTAAAAATTTGGGTTGAAGATCCTGGCTATTTTCTAGGCCCTTTCTCCGGCAAGTTTTAATTAAAAAAGAGTAAGTGGCCCGGGTCTCTGACATGATCCCTTATTAAATTCACTCTTACAGACTTGCTTTGATTCAGTCAGAAATACTTAATGAGAACTTTCTTACCTGATGGGAGCTCATTCCGTCAAGGCTGGGTCAATGTTTGAGCCTGGCACAGGCACTGGGGAGGTGGGGTCCCTGTGAAGCCAGCACTAATCCTGTCTGGCATCAGGGCAGCACAGAGGATGCCGTCTGTGCCAGGTCACCGTTAGATGTCTGGGCTGTTACTAACAACAGAGCTGTGGATTACTCTCGCTCTGTAGGATTGCTGGATGAGCCTTGGCTGGTTGTGGGACTTCAGGGGAGAGCCTGTTTCTCCTTTAAGAAACCGGGATTTAAGTAAGTGCTGTGAATTTTACACCCTTTAGTCTTACCTTCCCTCAAAATCATGCCTGTTTGCAATGAGTAAATTTACAGTACAGGCTGCAGCAGGGGAGCTGGGCTTTGGACCTCACTGTGCCCCCTTCCCTGGGCACCAGCACCCAGGGCCAGCCTGTGAGAGGTACTGCAGTGCTGGCACCGGGTCTTCTGATGCTCTCCTTAAAGCCAGCTGACTTCTTCAGCTTGCTAAAAGTCTGCAATCTTATTCTCTTCAGTAAAAGTAAATTAATTTGATTCATACCCCCAGACAACTTACTTATATAAACATTCAGGCCAACTTCTCCACCAACAAGAGACAGATTATTTTATTTTTCTTTAAAATCTGGCATTTGTGTCATAGTTGAAAATCAAAAAGTGTCCACTAGCTCTTTTGATGTGCTAGGCAGGCTGGTGGGATCTCCCAGTAGCTATTGTAGGGTTGCTCCATGTATCCAAAGCAAGAACTGGAGGTACTCAAGTGAGAAACTTGCTAAGAAAAATGGTTTGTAGCAGCAAATTTCCTTCCAGAAGAATATGGGCTTCTGCTTATGACACACTGCAGGCCCCATGGTGGCCCAGCTGCATTATGCACAGATGAGAATTACAATGGGAATAACTAACGAAGCAATAACAATAAGCATTAAATTGTGCATTTTCCTTCAGTAGCAGTAGGAGCTCTGCCTCCCTACACAGCTGTGTCTTTGGGCCCAGTCCTTCAGTGTGGTATTTTGTGGGATGGGACTGCATTGGGTCAGGCACAAGGGCTTTGTGGTGCTTGGATGAGCAAGCCCTCAGTCTGGGTGCAGCCGTGACCCTTGGCAGCTGTGTTTGCTACCAGGATGCTCCATGGGGATCGAAAGGCAGAGGTGTGCTGGGGATAACTGGAGCCAATACTGAGGTGTTTTAAAGCAGCCATAGGTGATGGACAGTGCTGCTGGGAAAGGACAAAAGCAACTGCTGCTGCCCCTTCAGCTCACAAAACCAGCAATCCCAAATCGAGTTGTTCTTTTGGGATTCCTGGGCTCAGAGGCTGACAGGACGCTAAGGGTCTTGTTGGCAGGTTTCCTAGGAAAGGAAAGGGAGCAGGAGCTTCCCCAGGACTTTGTGCCATAGCTACGGTGCCTTCCCAAGCTTTCTGCGGGCGTGGAGCCAGTAGTGGTACAGCCACCGAAAGATATTTCACCGATGTATCTGGTTTGGTGTCTGTTCTGTAAAGACTGGCCTCAACCATTTTACTCTTTTTCGGCTAAACCCCATCCTGGTTTTCACTTCAGTGACTGCAGCAGGCACTAAGCGTTGCACACAGTTGCTATCTAGTGGCCAGAGGAAGGTAGTGAATGCATTTTTCTCTACTGGTTTTGTGCTAGGACTGTGGTACTGAGATACAGGCAGGAATCTGTTACATGTATTCATGCAAATTGTCAGGGTTATTGCTATTTTTCAGTGGGTTAGCTGTCCGAAAATTTTTTTGGTTGATGGTGCAATCACTATAGAGAACTAAATTATTCAAGATATAGTCCATTGCAGTTGTAGGCTGCATAGCTAAGGGACTTTATAGTAACTACCAGGGGTTTGATGTGCTTGAAATATACTGGAAAGTAGAGCAGGGACAAGCAACATCATTACAAAGAAAAACCACTGGTAACGTAATATACTCAACATTTTATTATAAAACCCTCTAAAGCGCCACTTTATAGGTCACAGTTACAACAAAGGAAATGCCTTGAGTTAGGAAAACAATGGGGACACAGAGACGTTGTTTAATGGTTGTCTGGGGAACGTGTGTTGCTTCAGGACTTGTCTACATTTACCATCCCCTGATGGAGATATCCCAGCAGGACCACCGAAGCTGACTGGGCTGTGGTGCGGAAAGCAGAGCTGCTCTCATCCATCGCTGTCTCAGTACCGAGGTGAAATGTCTGGACAACTTCTGGAGGACGACAGCAGGGTGTATGGTGAGGGCATGGGTACTACACATATATTCAGGGTGCAGAGAGGGTCTCCTGCCAGTTCATGGTGGGGCAAAACAAAAGCTTCATGGTGTCCGTGGCCTCCTTGTGCTTTGGAGAGGAAAGTCCCCTGGGTCCTGAACCAGAAGTTTCAGTGGTTTATTTGTATGGTTCTCCTATGTGCAAACATTGCACAGGGACAGGCCTGACAGCTGGGGCCAATGAACTCCTCCTGAGGCCTGGGATTAGCAAATTCCTCCATCTGCGTGGCAGCAGAGACTTTAAAAGTAAAAAAAAAAACACCGAACGGGAGCAAGGGCACCTTTCTTGCCTCCAGGATACCCTGACCAAGTGTTTTGTTGCATGCCAGCTCCATGGCAGTGGCAAGCAAGCCCAGAGCCCCTTGGCAGCACATCCTCACTCACCCCAGTGCCACCACCAGCGCCCCAGCTGTTGGGCCTTTGTGCGAAGGAGCATCCCTTTAGAGGTGACCTCAGGCCTGTCAAAGGTTTTCAAGGGTTAGGCAGGTACATTTTGCCTATCTGTGTTTACCTTGGCTCCACGTGATGCTCATCGGTGTAGCTGCAGGACCCCAGGAACAACCCAGCCGGGGTACTGGTGCTGCTTTAGCTTGCAAGGTTGGAAAACAGCTGCAGCCCCTGCACAGTCAACCCAGTTACTGAGCCTGGGCTCCAGGGCTGAAGGACCACCAGAGTTGTCTCCAAGCCATCAGACATGACAGCAGGTTACAGGGAGGAGAGGATGCATGGATTTCTGACACCCCTCCCCAAACCTCTTTGAATTTCAATGTCTCTAAGTTTAGCAGTCCCAAATGTCCAACATCTTTCATTAGAAAGCTTGGCTAGGGCAGAGGGGGTGGGCTTTGTGGGCCACACTGCCAGGGCCCAAAGGCTATATTAAGTTGTTTATTAATTTTGAAATAAGGGTGACAGCACCAAGACAGCCAGCAGCCCACCAGAGACACAGTGGTGCAACCTCAGCTGCTGGGCCTGGAGGCGAGCCCTGCCCGTGTGGAGGGGCCCCTTTCACACAGGGATGTCTTCAGCAGATTGTACAGCTGTGGGGTTAGCTTGGCCTGCCATGGGATGCTCTGTGGGGACCAGAGAGCATCAGCAGAGTGGTGCTCACAGCCAGGGCAGGAGCACGGGGATGGCTTTACCTCCCCTTCCCTTGGAATGCACAAGCCCTGAAGGATACATCGGGGTCCAGCTTCCCCATCAAACAGATTGAGCAGGCCTGTGCCTTTGATAAATTATTAACAAGCATTCAAATATGATTTTTTTTTTTCTTCAGCACAAACGCCTCAGGTGAAGTAGATCAAGATCTTCAAGAAAATTAACTGAATCTGCTTGGCAGATCTTTGCCCAGAGCTCTTGGTGCCACCAGTCTGTAGCACAGCTTACAGCACGAGAAGGTGAACAGGGATCTTTCTTGATATTCTGGCAAATGTGCAGTAGGCTGGTAGGAGTAAGCACATGCTGGGATGCATCGGGACACCGATTAAAAATCCCCCGGGACAGGCTGCTGTGTGCTTCTCATTTATGTCTCAAGCATCACTCAGGCATGGGTATTGCCCTTCACTGAAGGCTGGATGATCTGCAGCTGAGTGATGACTGGCAGCAAGACAGGCAAGACTTCGGTTGACTGCAATTTGCCACAACAGGTTGAAAACCACCAGGGTATAAAGAATAGCGGAGGCCCCTTCTGAACCCACTACTGTCACTAATACAGAAACCTTAATAACTCATTGATAAACCTTCAGAGTAGAAATACACAAAACACCCCTATGTACAGTAACATTCTTGTTTACATCAACTGGGTTAGGAATTTGATGCAAGGATTGCCACTGATTGTTATTGTTTTAGCTACGTGATTGGGACTCGTCTGGAAAGAGCAAGATCATTTGGGATAATTTGTATCGGCAGCTGTTGACTCCATTGCTGCATCTGAGCAGTTGGCACAATGTGGAGGAGGCGCCTGGTGTGCGGTTGCGTTGCACACCCAACCTCCACCTACAGATGATTGAATCCCCTTGGCCATGCATGGGCAATTCCAGTCTTTAGTCCATCTCTGAAAAACGTGGTTCTAACTAGCTCCCTTTTTCTCCCATTCCTGCCAAGGAATAAAGGCAAATTAGTCAAAAGGCAAATCTGGCAAGCCACAGTAGCCGTAATGTGCATCGCTATTATCTGGTTTAATGATACCACCCAGTGGTTTTGGCCACAGGGAGGGTCATGGATGACTCCCTGTTATAAACAATACACACATTTATTCATTTAAATCGCAGCCAGGGCAAGCCCAGGTGAGAAGACCAGAGGAAAACCAGGCTGGCCTGCTCTGAGTGGTGCTCGGTCACAGGTGCTTCCCAGACCGAGATGTAAAAGACCCACCCCCCAGCCCTGTCCCACCACAGCCAGTCTGCTCCACTGCTGGGAGGGAAAAGCAGCGGCTGTCCCAGATGGATTTTTCTCCTGTACCAATCGGCGCATTACCTTAGCTTTCTGTAGTACTGTTCCCTTCCCCGTCACCATGACGGATAAAGGCCGGTTCTTTAAAGCCGTTGCCGAATTGACTGGTGAGTTCTCTGCGCTATTTGCCGGACTGGCAGTTTTTGCCTGAATCTACAATATAAGAATAATAGAAATTGTGATGACCTCAGACTACTGAGATTGCTGCCTTTCCCCGCCACCTCCTAGAAAAGCTCAACAGTCGCAGCCCACTTGCACAATGTGTTCTTCAGTGACATGCCAATGTTGAAACACCACCAGGATGTGCATGTGTGTGTGGTGTGTTTGGGTGTTGAGGACTTGAGCAGAGGTACGGAGCAGGGCTCAGGTGGTGACTGTCTCTGTGTTGTGGGAACCAAGTTCCCAGGAAGGAATTTAGATGCCTGGATCTCCCCCCCCAAAACACCCCTTGACTCAGCTGAGCACAGAAGGAGCTGGGCCCAGGCCTGCATGGCCCTGGAGGGTGTTGCTCAAGGTCCCACAGGGAAATACAGCCACTCTCCTGAGCCCCAGCCCCCTTTCACCTCCCCATCACTGCTGTTACCTCATTATATTATTACATTATTGTTTTAGGTATATTATAGATAATAATTAACAATACTTAGAGAATATATAAATTTATAGTTTATATAAGATTACATGTTATAATAATATAATATTGTTATTATAAAATTAAGCAGGCTGAGACAGTGCAACCGCCTGACTGCCGGAAAGCCGCTGTGCATCCCAGGGGTGCCCCCCACGTACCCGGGGGGCTGCATTCTCCAGGTGCGTGGTGTCCACAGCAGTCCCCAGCGTCACAGGGCCGGACTCTGCCTTCTTCAGGTTCTCCTTCACCTCCACCAGGCTCAGCTCCAGGTCCACCCTCTGGCTCTCCTTCCTTTTGCACTCTTCTTCTATCTCCTTCAGCCTCTGCTCCAGGATCTTGTCTGCGAAGGGAGGGATTGCTCGGTGCGGGCAGGTTCCTGGGTGGCCAGTGCAGAGCTGGGGTGGACACCAGGCACCGGTGGGAGCTCTGCAAGGCACCTCCTCGGCACGCAGCTCTGGGAGGCTGCAGGGGACTTGGGGAGCTCGTGAGGGAAGCAGGGACTGGAGCAAGTATTACTCCTATACCTTTTCCTTGTATCTTGCCCCAAAGGGACTGGGACAGAGTGAGCTCTTGCGCTAGCGTGATTTGGGCTACGTGGTTTGTCTCAGAGCACCAGGTTCTCCCCACTGCTGGAGGTGGAAAGCCCCTTTTGGTCCCAGGTGGGCTAGGTTCATCACCCTCTCCTTTCCCATGGTCCCACCTTGGCTCATTTCCATGCATCACCTTTTGCCCCACTCTACCTGTGCTGCCTGCAAGCATTTCCTTCAGCTCCCGCCTCTCCTTGCGCAGCTGGGTGAGCTGAGCCCGGATTTCATCCTTCTCCTTCTCCAGCCGCTCCTTCTCCTCTGTAAACCGCTTCACCTCCGCCTCCGTCCTGTTTTTGCCCAGCTTGGTTTCCACTGCTGCTGCTGGAAACACAACCCACCAAATCAAGCTCAGCCAGGGAAAAAGTGGGAGGGAAAATGTTTTCAGGAGCTTAGAAACAAAATGGATGAGGCGTAGGAAGGTCACCAACCGGGAGATGTATCAGGCACCACAAAGCTACCACAGAGCAGGGCAAAACTCACGCCTGGAGGCACCACCTCTCCTCAAGCCCCTGCAGCAGTGGGCACACACCAGGCACCCACCTGCACAGCCCACTCACCCGGCAGCGGCCGCCTGGGGCGGG